TCAAAAGCTAAACTAAAATCAAGTAAAGCTAATTTACAAGTCAAAAAAAAAACAAAGCCCTTCACTTCCAGCTCAGTATTCCTAGACCATGTTCGTATCTCCATCCATAACGGCAATGCCCTGTCTCGAAGCACATTTAAATCGAGCCCCTTTTAATATGCCCTCTAACAGCAAATAATCCGTCCTAGTTACCTTCATAGTATAGGCAGTGCCATAAGCTCAAATGGAGATCCAAATTTAGGTTGTTTCTTTTCTTAGGGGTGCAAGTGCCATTACTAAACATTGCACAACATATATTAAAGCAAAGTTTTGATTAACTTGTATTCACATTGAGAAAGAGGTTACTTTGTGCCAATCTCCAAAACAACTTCTGGTCACAACATTCAAGAACTCGTGACATCATTGCATGCGCTAGTTAAAAGAGATGTATCATGTTTATTTTTCTAGTTTTTTATACGGGTTGCAACCCTCTTGATGCCCTTTTTTTTTATATAATATTTATCTTTATTATCTTTTATTCGTAAAAAAGTGTTTATTTTTCTAGTTTTTAATATTCAAAATAAAAACTGTGGATGTGCATGCTCAATTGAGCTGCATCGTTGCCAAAATAACTGTGCCATGTTTCCAATTGTGCATCACCTTGATTTGTTTATATCGAAGTGCCAGTAATGCCATGTCTTCATTCATAAAAAATTCTTTGGAGATACTTATGATGATGGTTTGGTCATTCTCTGTCTGTTACTCTGTTTCAGGTTGAACACTGGCTTAATGAACTTTGTGAAGAACTGAGTGAAGCTTACTTCTGGACCTAGGATGGAGGAATTGTAGTGAAAAATCTAGAAATCCCCTAGATGTTGATTTGTGATTATGTATCAATTTTAAGCAGAATATAACAATCCCAATCAAACAATCAAGACAAAGAGCACAACGATTTAACGTGGAAAAAACCACAATTGGACACCTCCAACTGTGATAAAAAACCACGGGCAACAGCCACAAGAACAATCCACTAAGAAGATTTAAAGGAATTACACAGGTGTACTCTCAATTACCTAGCGAATCCACAACGCCTAATTGAACCAACCTCTATGTGCCTCTTCCAACCCCATCTTCACCACGGAATTGTCTTTCTGATGAGCCACTCTGGATTCCACCAAAGCTTCAGGCTCGAATTCTTCAGAATCCACAACTGAAGAACAACTCTCTCTTTTTGTATAAACAAACAAACCTTTGATGTACTCTCTTTAAATCATGAGTTGAAAATCCCTCTAGATGTTGATTTGTGATTATGTATCAATTTTAAGCAGAATATAACAATCCCAATCAAACAATCAAGACAAAGAGACACAACGATTTAACGTGGAAAAAACCACAATTGGACACCTCCAACTGTGATCAAAAAACCATGGGCAACAGCCACAAGAACAATCCACTAAGAAGATTTAAAGGAATTACACAGGTATATCTCTCAATTACCTAGCGAATCCACAACGCCTAATTGAACCAACCTTTATGTGCCTCTTCCAACCCCATCTTCACCACGGAATTGTCTTTCTGATGAGCCACTCTGGATTCCACCAAAGCTTCAGGCTCGAATTCTTCAGAATCCACAACTGAAGAACAACTCTCTCTTTTGTGTATAACAACAACAACCTTTGATGTACTCTCTTTAAATCATGAGTTGAAGACTCAATAAAAGCATCAAAGAAAACAAACAAAATATCTCCAGATATAAACCTTAAGATCCAAAAAATAAGATATGGAGAACTTCAATCAATATCGCTTAGTTTTGGGAGAAAACCAAGTATTTATAGAGAACCAAAAGTAATCCTAGATTGGGAAGAAAACAAACTCCTTGAGAAATCCGGATTCTAAGGCTCGCTCAAGCGAAGCTTTGCTGGCTCGAGCTAGGAGTGTATTTTTCATGATTTCTACTAGTGCCTTGGCTCGAGCGACGGATCCTTGGATCGAGCGAGGAATACATTCTTTCAGGTTTTTGTATGGACGCAATCCTTGGCTCGAGCGCGCATTCCTTGGCTCGAGCGAGCAAGCCCTAGCTCGAGCGAGAACTCCTTGGCTCGAGCGAGCAACGACGGACATGCAATTTTGAATGCAATTTTGCATTTTGCTTCGCCCGCGAGCTGACTGGGCAGCTCAACCCCCGAAATAATCAGCGAAGTGGCAATCTTGAAAGCATTAACATCACAAACTTCTCTGCATGGTTCGATTCGGGTTTGGATTCGCATCTAATAAACTCATAGCCTCACTGAAATAAAAGTGTGAAAATAAATACATCTGAAAGGAGTTTTGTCAAACGGGGTTGCCAAGAATAAAAACCTAACAGCATGTACACTCACTTTGCATGCCAGAGCTTTCAAGGTAGTTACTTTTTCTTCTGATTCTCTCTTTCACATCTTAGATAAGCTTTCCGTCTCTAGGCAATCCAAATGTTTGCAAATATTTTGAATACCTCGACTCCAACACCTAGTTCTGTTGATTATGTCATCCTGTAGTCCAGTGACTCTGAGTCGCGGAAAAATTTTCCTTCCAAGTCATGTCCATTGAGGTATGGCTCTGCCAAGGTCAAAGAAGATGCCCTGAACCTATTTCAAGTGGGGTTACGTGAATACCTTGGCTCACACAGAATCAAGTCTCAGGGAAGTCACTATAATGGATGGGGAATAACTTTTCTTTTTGTTACGGCCAGCAAAATAGTTGTTATTCCATCTGTAAGTTCAAATTTTTTTGTTGTCTCATATTTTATTATCATGCAATGTCCATTTTTGAACAACATATTTATACTTGTTTGGATATGTAATTTTTAGTAGTAAGAGTTTGCCTTGCCATTAACATGTTATGATGTTATTAAGCCCAAACCTATCAACTCTGCAAGGATCATACTATTTAACCTGGGTTAAAGAAGCTTCATAGACCTTATTTATCAAAAAAAAAAATAAAAAGAAGAAGAAGCTTCAGGGACCTTGATAAAACTATTGACACCTTCTTACTGTTGCATCACATTTGCTCTGTAGATAGTTCACGGACTGATTGGTGTTCAGTTTAATTTATAGTAGAATTTAAAATTGAGTTTTGGGTGTTCGGACCATGATTTGAGATAAATTTGTTGGGTCTATTTTGGTATATAATTGGACCATATTTGACTTATAGGTGACCCATGACTTAGATTTCATTTAAATTGAGTTTGTTCAATAACTCACGTTTAACTGTTTGGTCCTTTTAAAATGTAATTGGTAATAACCACCTTGTTAGTTGTTATTATTTATTATATAGGATTATAATAAATATTTGATAATTGATTTTATGGTGTGTACCATTAAATGAAATATATTTTGTGGTGAGAAAACATTATATCATTTTATCATTTATGTTACAAAATATTATGATGGTGTGAAAATATACTTGAATTGATATATATATATATATATATATATATTTAATGTAATTGTAACGCCTTCAAAATAATACATATAAACCCAACATTCAAGACATCCATAGACATAAGAGAATAAAGCATATTTCCATTTATCATAGTATTCATTACAAAAGTATTACATGTTGACAACAAAAGTAAATGCCCTACGGATTTACAACTTTCCAAGCCAACACTTGGTTACAAAAAAAAGAGAGTGCTAACTCAAAAACACATTAAGCCCTTGGTTTGAAATTACATGTAATACCAAAAAGATAACAACAAAAAGATCTTTCAGCCTCTAAGCCTCCCAAGCCACGTCCTTGGAGGTGGCATATCACCTGAACCTGAAAATGATGTCCCATATAGGGTGAGCCAAAGCCCAGTAGAGATACGCTAAACCAATTATGAGCAATAACTAAAACATTAGCATTTGATAAATGTTTAACTCATATACACAAGTGTACATCTCTTTCATAATCAATCCATATTTACAAAAATGTTTCAATTCCTTTTCCCGTTTCATTATCCAAACTACTTCATAGATATGGTTCTCTATTCATCCAGACAGTTTATAATAAGACTACAACTCACATTATTAACACTTCAACACTTCAATTTCAAATGAGACTACAACTCATATTAACAATTCAATACTTCAATTTCAAATGAAACTACAACTCATATTAACAATTTAATACTTCAATTTATCTACGTTATGCAAACGCAATTGGGATTTTGGGACTTTCACCCTGGACACTCCGTCCAATTTAGTTATCAATGGAGTCCATCCCCTATCTCCTCCCAAACGGGTTTGAGAGTACATCCCCTATCTCCTCTTAAACCATAGAGTACATTTCCTATCTCCTCCCATACAAAATACATATACAATGTATTTAAACACTTATCATATACAATGATCAAGCAAGCACATATTCAATGTGTTGTTCCATCCGTCATATTCAATGACATACTCAATTGATTAGTTTTAATTCACCTAATCATCATGCAGTATCTACAACAATTAAGACTATCCTCCACCGATAGCCCTAAACAGTTATTTCTAAACAGATAATGAATTATCAAACAGATAAATTATCTACAATTTCAAAGGTGAGTGATTAGTCAGTCCAACTCCACTATTCAATCTCATAATTTCCCAATTTCATGATTTTCAACTCAATTTCATGTTTCCATATTTCCCGGATTAATTATACAAATTAATCAATTACATTAAATTAGGGTTTTTTCTCCATTTTCTCAAATATTGCACCCAAGGCCAAATTTCATCAATCATACACAATAACTTCGTTTTAGGGACCCCTCATACACTTGGAACCCCAAAAATAGAAAAGCCCTCTTTTATAATTTCATTTTGAAACCCTAGTTTCTCTAAAAAAAACCCTAAACAACACCATCTATACAACATACATAACATCTATGTCAAAACTCATAGAAATGAGTAGGTTATCCCTACCTCAAATGAAGAGACCCAAAGGAGATGATGAAGAAACTCGAAAGTGTTCCGAACCTACAACTTTTCGAATAGAAATAGAGGTCTTGAGAAGCTTTAACACTTTAATGAAGGCATAAAGGTTGGGTCTCACTAAATCAAGATCAAAATGTAGAGAGAGAGAGGGTATTCTAGAGAGAGAAGCTCTCAAATTAGGGTTTTGGAGTACTTTAGAGAGAGGGAGGGCCAAAAAAGTGAATTCAAAAGCTTCATCTTGGACTGATATACATTACAGCCCGCTCGAGTGTGGAACGCCCCGCTCGAGCGTGAAAAGCGCCGCTCGAGCGTGGAATGCACACTTCCAGAAGTTCTACAGACGATGGTCCCCGCTCGAGCGTGAACGTAGACGCTCAAGCTTCCGATGTCCTGCAGGAAAAAAATACTGAAGGCTGAATAATCCTGCTTGAGCGGAGGAGCAAATGCAAAATGGCCCGCTCGAGCGTGAAGGCCAAAATCTGGGTAGAAGCTATTTGTTCCTAAACACAACCAACCTGTTTCAAACCTGCCCAACACATTCCAAAACTCAAATACAAAGAATTAAAGGATCGAAGCGCGATACAGACAACAACAATCATCCACGGGACCGAGTCCAGAATACAATAAACAAAGGAGAAAAAACTGGGATCGCTATATAATTCAAATCCCTTTTCCATAATTTATTTGAAATAGTTAAAAATTGATATGACATGTTTGGATTTACTTTTATTAGCTAGTCTCAAGGGGGCCACATAGGCAAAAGTGCATTACTTCTAAGGATATCACCATATATAGTGAAGGATATTTACAAGAGGGGAGGGGCAATAATAAAAGTTAAAAAATTTGAAACAGAATTCATTTTAATAACACAATAGAATTCATTTTAAGAGAGTCATCTCAGCATGTATTTTCTTAATTACATATAGAGTTTTACACGAAGTCAAACCTAATTTAAATTATACTAACTTTACCTATTTTATATGGACTCTATTTGACAAATATTTCTTTTCCATATATTTTTCATGGCAAATTGAGATAATTCACAAACCTAATACCAATTTTGCGGTTCACGTTTTTCTTCTTAATTCTTTCAAAGGTATTAGGATTTTTTTTAATGCTAAATTACTTCCCTTTTTTCTTCTTCTTATTTTTCCATGCATTATTCTATACCTAATACTAATTCTATAGTATTCTATATTATGAATTTGTTGTTTAAATTTTATAAGGATTCTACATATGAAATTATACTTCATTTCCTATATATTATTTTATATAATCACAATTCAGAGGAGGAAAAACCTTAATAATAATGATACTCTCGTGAAACTTCTAAAATTTAGATTTACTGCTTGAGTTACTTTTTCAATTGTTGAACGGTAAGTTCTTTTATGTTTTAACATCATATTATAGATGATTAATCACTTTTACACTAAGATATATCAATCAGTTGGATGTTTTCATTATTTTTTCTTTTTAGGTTTAGATATTGTTATGTGATTCTTTCTTAATTAGTCGTTGTTGAATTTCTTTTATATATTTGATATTTTAATTTAATTAAAAGTGTTTATTTTACAATCTTATAATTTAATATATATATATATATAAATCACATAAATTCATTATATGATAATCCAACTACAAAATATTTATATTTAAGTGTTTTAATAAATTTTATATATTTTTTATTTCTGCATATTTTTATTTTTCAAATGAATATAAAAGAAAATTAAATAATTAGAATAACTTTTAATTTCATGTTACTAATTCTTCTTCTAATTTAACTATTAATTTTAATATCAAAATGGGTATTTATCTTACTATTTTATAATGTAATATATGTCATACAAAATTATTATATGATAATTAATTACACTTTTATAATACGATAAAACTAAAAATATCAAAATACACAAATAATTTAACTAAAATTAATACATAAATATATATATATATATATATATATATATATATACGTATTCAAGTAACAATTTTATAGAATGATAGCGCCAATATTATTAAAATAAATAATTAAAATCGTACTTTAATTTTAACTTGAAATTAAAATTAAAATGATTATTTTATAATACACATTATACCATCAAATATTAAAAAAAATAACACATATATTGTACGAATCAACTGCTTATAATGCTATTATAATAATCATATTTTTGTATCACATTTTGTTTGTCAAATTGTGTGTCATAGTAATGTTGATTATGCCTTTGTTACTAGGAAAAAGGCTATCACACATGCCCCTAAAAAAAAATATGTAGTATGTTCTTTTATAATCACATTACAAAAATGTGTAGCATGAATCATAAAATGGTATAATTTTTATCGTCACAAAAAAAAAAATTTACTTATTACAAAAAAAAAATGATAATAATAAAAATCACAATATAAATAATATAATGTTAAAAAGTGATAACTAGGAGTTTTTTACCTCAATGATTTATCACTAACATTGTAAAAATTTGTAACTTTCTCCACAAATTTTTTTCACTTTCTTGTGATTGAGAGGTGTTCATATAAAATTTGTTTTATTCATGGATTATGTAGAGATTTTAAAATAGAAGGAAAAAAAGAAAAAAGAAAGAAAAGGTAGGTAAAATATAACTAAGTCACTTATATTTCACACACCATTTTTCTTTTTCTTTCCAAATTCTTTTTTGAATCCATAAACCAAACATAATTTTAGAGTAAATTACACCCACCTCTCTCGAGATTT